CAGTCATGAAACAGCTAAAAATCAGCTAATTATCATGCAAATTAGGTAATTAATATGCATGGATTTTTACCAAAACCTAATCAAATCTGCGCATTGGCCCAGAGCATCTATGCACCAAGTTTCATCAAAAACTGATGTATGGTTCTTGAGATATCAGTGGAACAGACGGACACACATACACATACACACACACACACACACACACACACACCCACACACATACATACATACACACACACACACACATACAGACACACTAACTGCAAAGACTCCCTTTTTGTGCTTCGCACACGGGAGTCAAAAATTGTGAAGTTGAAAATGGGGGATGAACGATCATTGCTATGAATAGCTTCCACTAGGTTGAATCTTTCAACAATAGAGCAGGGACTGTATGAAATACATCAACTTAATTTACTTACTCTTTCTACAAGTGTGATTGGTTCATAATCCCAGTCAGTGCAATCCTCTTCATTTGGATCTGTATAGGCTTCAAATGTCTGCGGCAAAATTGAACAGATTTCTAGTAATATGTATGTACATATCAAAAACTTATTTAGATCTTCTTGGTCATTCAGAATGCTTTGTTTCAGGACGTTTCATGCACTAGGACTTCTATATAAATCACATGACATCAAAGAAATAACACTGACTTAAATTGGCAAATTATAGAACATTCAAAACACAGTTTAAAATGGAAAAATATTTAATAACAAGTCATTGTCAATGACACGTCCCTGTTCCGTTCATATTTGAGTGACATATACATTCAAAGCAGATCATGACCGAAATGCACCTGCAAACAAAATGGCCGCCAGTCAACCATTTCGAACTTGATCCGAAAAAAAAAAATGACGAGCATCAAGGTCCTATTATGTTTAATGTATGTACCAAATTTGAACGAAATCCGTTCATGCATAACTGAGATCTGGGTCCGGAATGGTGAAAATGTGCGATTTCAATGCATTTTCGGCCTTAAAGCGGTCGCCATTTGGCTATCATTAATGAGATCATAAAACAAATGCACATACATATTTTTGACATGATGTACCTTGTGTGTGTGAATTTTGAACTTGATCAATCCAGACATGTCTCGGATACGGATCCAGAACTGAATTCTTTAAAACAAAATGGCCGCCAGTCGGCCATTTCGAACTTGATCCGAAAAAAAAAAATGACGTGCATCAAGGTCCTATTATGTTTAATGTATGTACCAAATTTGAACAAAATCTGTCCTTGCATAACTGAGATCTGGGTTCGGAATGGTGAAAATGTGCGATTTTGATGCATTTTCGGCCTTAAATGGCCGCTATTCGGCTATCGTTAATCGGATCATGAAAAAAATGCATGTGCATATGTCCCATATAATGTGTGATGTATGAGTGAAGTTTGAACTTAATCGGTCCATGCATGTTCGAGATACAGGTGATCACGGACGCACACACGGACGCACGGACGCACACAGGGCAAAACATAGGTCACCGTTTTCGGACTACGTCCGAACGGGGACTAACAATGAGTAATATTAAACTTAGACATGCCCTATGCCAGTTAAGAATCTCTGATCACAAACTTCATATTGAAACTGGCAGGCATTGCAGAACTCCAAGAAATGAAAGTCTGTAAATACTGTGATAAAAAGCAGATTGAAGATGAGATACATTTCCTTATGCACTGCAGTCTGTACAATACACACAGAATTGAATTATTCAAGTACTGTACAAATTATACAAAATTTCAGGAAGTTAAATGAACAATGCAATTATGAAATATTGTACAGGAATAAGAACTGCACAATACATTCAATGTATGCAAATAAGATGTGAGCAGCTCCACCAAAATTAATCAAAGAAAGCTTAGAAAGAACTCCCGTGTGCTGAGAGTTGAAGACACATTAAAAATTAATTCAAAATTACTTGTACACGAGATATTGATGGAAAATCTGAAAACTAATTATGTAAATCAGGTAACTAATATGAACAGAACAAAAAAAATTATGAATTATTATGCTAATTAGAGAATTAATATGATCAAATTTTAACCCAAAATTAATCAGGCCTGTCTATTGTCCTAGAGCATTTTTATGTACCAAATTTTATTCAAATGTGATGATCAGTAATTGACATATCAGTGTTAATTAATTATGTTAATTAGGTGATTAATAAGCATAACAATTTACCAAAAACTAATTGGGTCTCTGCATAGTTCTCTTTAAAAGTTTCATTAAAATCCAATTCGTGGTTCTTTATATATCAGTGCAACATTATGCAAATTAGGTAATTAATATCCAATTAAAACTAATCAGGTCTCTGCATAGTCCTAGAAGATCTATGTACCAAGTTTCATTGAAATGTGATGATTACTACTTGAAATATCAAAAGCTGAAAATTAATTAATTATGCAAATTAGGTAATTAATATGTACTGATATTACCCTAAAAACTATCAGGTTTGTGCAGTATCCTATGACATATATGTACCAAGTTTTATTGAAATGTGATGATTAGTACTTGAGATATCAGTGGAAAAGCCGAAAATTTAGTAATCATTATGCAAATTAGGTAATATTGCAGATTTTTACCCAAATCTAATCAAATCTGCGCATTAGTTTGGAGCATCTATGTGCCAAGTTTCATCAAAATCAAATGAGTGGTTCTTTAGATATCAGTGGAACAGTGATGGAACAGCTAAAAATCAGCTAATTATCATGCAAATTAGGTAATTAATATGCATGAACTTTTACCGAAACCTAATCAAATCTGCGCATTGACCCAGAGCATCTATGCACCAAGTTTCATCAAAAATCAATGTATGGTTCTTGAGATATCAGTGGAACAGACACACACACAGACCGACAGACCGACACACTAACTGCAAAGACTCCCTTTTTGTGCTTCGCACTCGGGAGTCAAAATATTCCTTCCACCATAATTATGACTATAATGTGATTTTAATGTGATTTTGTTACCTCTTAACAATATTACCTAGTGTATTGTATTGTATTGTATTGTACCGTATAAGTTTATTGTAATCCTTTGCATGTTTGTAATATTATTTAGCTTTATTTTGCATTCTGTGTAGTTGATTAACTTTACTGTATCTTAGTGTACATGTAGTTTATTTTATTTTATTTTATCTTTATTTTATATTTATAATTATATGACCATAGAGCAACTCACTGTAGTTTGTTTTAGTGTTGAATAAATAAATATTAAATTGGTGATGTGACAGACATGCTACCTATTAGCTATGTAGCCTTTGGGATATCTATCTTAGATCATGAATATAAATATAAGTTGATCATTATGCAGATCTTGCGTATAGGGTCAAATTCAGAATGAAAATCAGAACAATGACTACAATTTGATAAAAGTCAAGGTTCATGTACATATGTACTGTATTCATGTATTGCAGGATAGAATATATCTATACTGAGCAATTCAATTTAAATCAGATAAAGCCATCATACTCCAACTCTTGTTGACATTTGGTCTTGGGTTTGATTTATATCCTGGAAGAGTCCTATTCTATACACTACACACATGTGTCAAAAGTCTCTTGTAACAAAGGACACTCACCTGATCATCAAATTCTATCTGTGGTTCTGGTAGACCAAATAACTGTATTGGTTCTTGTTGTGATTTGGTTACATCATCACTGATTTCACCAATAGTAGCAGCCCTTGCAGAAGACTTACCTGTCATATACATTTGTAAATAGATGTTATGGTTAATAGAAGACACATTGACATACAGACATTTAGAAAGATAGTGTACCTGTGATTAGACAGGGATGAAAGGAAAACAGATGTGTAGCCAAGCATGAAAGCTCACAGTGAGACTCGCATCACCCTTACATGTATTAGTGTTCATGGGTTTGGCCCATCTCATCAAATTCCAAGTAAGTAGAAGTGTCATGTCTGTAGAAGATGGTGGTGGCTGTGACATGAGTGAATGATCATACAGTACACAGGCTGCCATGCTCTCAATTGCAAGGGGGCTCAAGACTTGAAACTGGGCACTGGATGATCAAGTCCAACATTAAAACACACACAGGCAATGCAGAGACTGGCCACAAAATAATTTATACTATTTAATACTGGACAAAGTCCTGAAGCACAGCATCTGGGCAACCAAGTCCTGAAATACAGCATCTGGGCAACCAAGTCCTGAAGCACAGCATCTGGACAACCAAGACCTGAAGCACAGCATCTGGACAACCAAGTCCTGAAGCACAGCATCTGGGCAACCAAGTACTGAAGCACAGCATCTGGGCAACCAAGTCCTGAAGCACAGCATCTGAGTAACCAAGTCCTGAAGCACAAAATCTGAGCAACCAAGTCCTGAATTACAAAATCTGAGCAACCAAGTCCTGAAACACAGCATCTGAGCAACCAAGTCCTGAAGCACAGCATCTGAGCAACCAAGTCTTGAAGCACAGCATCTGAGCAACCAAGTCCTGAAGCACAAAATCTGAGCAACCAAGTATTGAAGTACAAAATCTGAGCAACCAAGTCCTGAAACACAGCATCTGGGCAACCAAGTCCTGAAGCACAGCATCTGGGCAACAAAGTCTGAAGCACAGCATCTGGGCAACAAGGTCTGAAGCACACAATCTGAGCAACCAAGTCTGAAGCACACAATCTGAGCAACCAAGTCCTGAAGCACAGCATCTGAGCAACCAAGTCCTGAAGCACAGCATCTGAGCAACCAAGTCCTGAAGCACAGCATCTGAGCAACCAAGTCCTGAAGCACAACATCTGAGCAACCATGTCCTGAAGCACAGCATCTGAGCAACCAAGTCCTGAAGCACAGCATCTGAGCAACCAAGTCCTGAAGCACAGCATCTGAGCAACCAAGTCCTGAAGCACAGCATCTGAGCAACCAAGTCCTGAAGCACAGCATCTGAGCAACCAAGTCCTGAAGCACAGCATCTGAGCAACCAAGTCCTGAAGCACAGCATCTGAGCAACCAAGTCCTGAAGCCCAGCATCTGAGCAACCAAGTCCTGAAGCACAGCATCTGGGCAACCAAGTCCTGAAGCACAGCATCTGGGCAACCAAGTCCTGAAGCACAGCATCTGGGCAACCAAGTCCTGAAGCACAGCATCTGGGCAACCAAGTCCTGAAGCACAGCATCTGAGTAACCAAGTCCTGAAGCACAGCATCTGAGCAACCAAATTCTGAAGCACAGCATCTGAGCAACCAAAAGGATGCTCTCATGGATGATTAAACATCAACAAAACAAGAAAATGATAACAGAATATTTTTCTTAAGCTTTTATTAATACACCCTACTCATTTTGATATAAACCATACTTACTTTGGGATGAAACATTTCCCAGTAAACTTTGCAGTCTTGAGGAACCTCCTTCCCAGCATTCTTTACATGCGTCTAATTCAGTCCTGAGGTGTTTCAAGCTAAGAAACAACTCATTTTCTTTACATTTAATTTCTTTTAATTCTTTTGAACATTCCAGTTGCTCCTGGAAAAATCCAACTCTGGTTGAGGCAAATTGAGAAGCTATTATTTTGCATGAATATTTACATTTTTTTACTACTGAAAACAAGTTTGAAATGTTATGAAACATGCAAAAATACAACAAAAATTAAACATGTACTGAGTAAAACTATGTACATGTGTATTGTACTATGTGTTTTGTACATTTC